ACTACTTGAGGATGGAAAACCATCCGGGACAATCGGAAGTAAGAGAGACCCCGATGGCCATGGCATGGGGGAAACCGAACCCTTGCGGAGGAGGAAGAAATTTGGAGGTAGATCCTTAAGAGGAAAGAGAACGACATGCTTCCTCTATAGCCTCTTTCGATGAAGAGGTGAGTATGGGATATGACAAAGGGGTGCTGAATTCGAAAGAATTCAGCAATCCGATGGGGGGGATTTTGAAGGAAGAAGGGGAGGAACGTCATCGTCGAGGTGCCTGAATTTAAAGGTATTCAACGTCGAGGTGATGATGTTGAAGGAGAGAGTTGAGTATGAAGAGGGGTTCGAGTATAATCGTCGAGGGACGATCAAGGACAATTGAGCACTCACGATTGAAATTAAGGTGGGATGGGAAAGGGTGGTCTAAGGGGTGATGCAGGCTATCAAAGAGCCGATCACATACCTTAGATCATGGTTAGGCGACTACAGAGGTGGGGGAAGATTATCATTTTGTGGAACTACACAGGCTGGAGCGATCAGATTGGGTAAGAGGGAGGGGATGTTCCTCCTTCTGGGCAAGCCTTGGTTCGCAATACAGTAAGGTTTTTCAGTACCTCAAGGATGGCCAACCTCCACCAGGAACAGAAGCATATCTCCCTTTGAGGACAAGGCGGATTTTTGGAGGGAAGTATTGTTAGACCGGTCCAGTGGAACCGTCCAGCCAAGTCCACGCGGACGGCCGGAGAACATCCCTAAACAGTCCCTACATTCAAATTTCCCTCTCAAAACGCTCAAAAAAACTTCCTAAAACGCTCCCGCAAGCAAAGCGGCTCGCACGGCCTCCGCCCAGGCGGAAGATTTCCGCCATTTCATGTCTCGGCCGGTCCCGCGTGGACCGGTCTAACAATCAAATTTGAGATACTCAAACCCTAGCAAAATCAACTATTTAATGCATACAAATCAAAAGGAATTCCCTAAACAGTCCCTACAATCAATTTCCCTCATAAACTTCCTCAAATTTCCTTCCTGAAACGCTCCCGCAAGCCGAGCGGCTCGCATGGCCTCCGCCCAGGCGGAAGATTTCCACCGTTTCATGTCTCGGCCGGTCCTGCGTGGACCCGCTGGACCGGTACACTGGACCGGTCTAACAAATTACTAGGCTCAATTTTGCATAATTACCGACACACCATGCAATTTACTGATCAAAACTGCAATCATTCTTCATGGGGAATCATAATTAATTGTCGATCTCATATCTCTGCATCAATTTTGTGCTTTAAATCATACTCTCCATCGATACAAAATTTTACCTTTCATTCTCATCTTCTGTTTAATGACAGTCAACCCTACTCGTCGAAGGTGAATGATGCACCACAAAGCTAAGTTCCTCATGGAACCATGCCACGTAGTGCACAACACGATGCACGTCATTTTAAATATGGTGCAAATATAAAAGCATTTATATATATAGCAAACAATATTATTGATTTGAACCAATTTAAGCATACATATCCCACTAAATAGTAAAAATGACAACTTTAAATCATACATAAACTTACATCGATAGATTTGAGCATGGTTTAAATATAATTTAGTCTAAATCCTACCAAATAACAAAAATAAAAACTTTAAATCCAACAAAAACCTTTAAGATAATTTTTTTGATATTTTCTTAATTTGTTTTTAATTAATTAATAATTAATGTGTTTAATTAATTAATAATAATTGTGATATTAATATATAAACCTTAAAAAATTTAATTATAATTTAAAATTTAAAATTTATAACATGTGAATAAAATGATGCGCACTATTTGCGCCTTGCAGCATTGCCTATGCATGACGCAAATAGCGTCGTATGTGCACTGTGCCGCATCGTGTGCCATTTTACCTGCATTTTGCACCATTGACATGCATGAATAAGCCTCCCAAAACTCTTGATGAATCGCTTACATCCATCACTAAGACTTTACCTGATTTTATTGCCAATCGATTATTACAATTTAAACATTTATTTGAGCTCCCACAAGGCCTACCACCTCAACGTCCTATTGATCGCCTTATAAACCTTCCTCCACATCCTATTGACCACCGTATATACCTTCCTCCACTTTCCAAACCAGTCAATATTCATCCTTACCGATATCATCACTTTCAAAAAGTTGCAATGGAATAATTAGTTAAAGAAATGTTACAATCATGCATTATTCGTCATAGTAATAGCCCTTTCTCTAGTTCAGTTCTCTTGGTTAAGAAGCGTGATGGTACTTGGTGTTTCTGTGTCCATTATCGAGGCACTTAATTCCCTAACTATTAAAGATAAATTTCCAATCCGTACAGTGGAGAGTTATTGGACAAATTACATGATACAACCTTCTTTTCTAAGCTTGACCTCCACTCCAAAAATCAACAAGTTTGAATGCACCCAAAAGGCATCTATAAAACAACTTTCCACACACACAGACAGTCATTTTGAATTATTAATAATGTCTTTTTGGCCTTACAAATAGACCATATACTTTTCAGGCTTTCTTGAATTAAGGCTTCAGTTCTTATCTTTGTAAGTTCATCATAATTTTTTTGATGATATTCCCACCTATAATTCTACCCCATCTCTTCATTCAGATCATCTACAATTGCTTTTTCAATGCCTACATGATAATCATCTTTTTTAAAACTAACAAAATGTCAAATTTTTTCAAACTTCAATTGAATATCTTGGCCATATTATCACCGCTGGTAATATTAAAGCTAATCCAAAAAAAAAAAATTGAAGCCATGCTTAAATGGCCAATTCCATCTTTCTTAAAACATTTAAGATCCTTTTTTTGGGTTAACCGGCTACTACCAATGTTTTATTTACAACTATGCTTCCATACCTACCACATTCAACAGGAACATCTTTTCTATGGCAACCGACTATGCATTCCTGAAGGGTCCACGCGACTTGCAATCATCAGCAAATGCCACGAAGCCGGTATACCAGGCCATTTTGGAAGAGATAAAACTCTCATTTTGGTGAAGGAGCATTTCTACTGACCCCTGCTCGTGCAATATGTGAACCGATTCATTAAACAATGCAGGATTTGAAAACTAGTCAAAACTCAGGGTCAAAACCTCGGGTTGTATGCCCCTCTATCCAGTCTCGGAGGACCATGGATTGTTGTTAGCTTGGACTTCGTTCTTGGCCTACTTCGCACACAAAGGAACAATGACTCGATAATGGTGGTAGTTGATCGATTCTCGAAAATGGCCCACTTCGTACCATGTAATAAAACTCTAGATGCTACACATGTGGCTGATTTATATTTCAAAGAAGTCGTTCGTTTGCACGGCATCCCCAAAACTATTATGTCTGATCGCGACGTTAAGTTCTTAAGTCATTTTTGGAAGACATTGTGGGGTAAATTGGGAACCAAGCTACAATATAGCTCCATGGCTCATCCCCAAATCGATGGTTAGATAGAGACCGTCAATAGGAGTCTAGGAAACCTCCTTCGATGCTTTGAGGGAAAGAGTTTGAACTTCGAAGCAATGAGACCTCGTGCTACCTCAAATCAAGTTTGCTTTTAATCGATCTACAAATCATGCCACAAACAAGAGCCCTTTCTAGGTAGTGTATAACAGTAACCCCTGAATGCCAATTGATTTGATGCCTCAAGTTCCCATGTCTAGCTACAGTGTTGACGGTGAACTTTGTAGCAAGGAAATACAACAGTTACATAAACTTGCGGAAAATGATTCCCAAACACAATAGAAAGTATCAAGATGTCGCCAACAAATCATGGAAAGCAATGCAGTTCCAAGAGGACAATATGGTATGGATCCGTCTAAGCAAAGACAAATTTCGCAATGTTACCTTCGACAAACTCAAGCCCAAAGCTAACGGTCCTACACGCATCGTCAAAAAAATAAGCGATATTGCGTACCATATTGACTTACCTGGAAGCTACAATGTATCATCTACGTTTAATGTCGCTGACCTATCGCCTTATTACGAACCTGAAGTTCCTCCAACCCCGGTAGACTAATGCCGGAGCTATATGGCTAGCAACGGAAAATTCATTTCTTCCTCAGCTTTAACTTCAATTTGTAATGAGACTTCTTGTATCGGGTTTAGTTGCTATCTTTGTAGCCCATTAAGTAACTAAATGGTGTAGTTTTAAATGGGGTTAATATTTTGTTGAAATAATAAGAAAGATAGTTTGAGAATAACTCTTGCTATCATTTTTGTATCAAAACCGATGGCAGGTGGTGGTTCGCGATCTTGGTGGTGGTGCTCCATTCTGTGAAGTCGTCGGCGACTCGTTGAGGTAGTCCGGAGTCACCTACTTTCTCAAAATCCAAAGAGAGGCCTGGTGTTCATATAAGACAGAGTAGATTCTAGTTCATGTCACCAAAAGCCACTGCCTTAATCCATGTGCATGCCATTATGCTTCTTCACCTCCAAATAGAGAGAACTCGTAATTCATACTCCATAAATATCAGTAGCCCCTCTTGCATTTGGAAATATATGGCTATATATTCCAAATTTGCCTTCTAAATCTGTTTCTAAAATTTCTTCTCCTTATTAAGCAACATGTTAGGTTTTTCTCAAGCGCCTTTCTGGCTGTCTCAAGCATCAACTGCCGACCAAAGAAGCTAGAATCATGGGACACTGATTTAACTTAAAGGAACAAATAAATTCTATTTTAGATAACGAATCAGAAGTCAGTTATGTAAATTAACACGCTCATAATCCATCTGTAATAAGCCTTTAGTAGAAGCAAGCATAGTAGCTTTGCACTTATTTAGCTGGCTACCATAGAAAAAACCAAGTATCACGGATTGGATTGTAGTCGTGAAAAGTGTTGATCGGTAAAAGTGCACCAAATTGCTCAGCTACAATTGGTAAGATGTTGCCGAAGAAAAAAAATAACAATTATTACTAAATTCCTATCAATTAAGTATAGAAAACTTATCCAAGAGCGTTAAGAAGAATTCCCAAATTAAAATATGCAGAAATACCTCGAGAAACGCTTTTAGAAGCCATAAAAAAGCCAGCATCAACACCCCATTTACCGTAAATCGCACCTTCAACGAATCACAGCCAATCAAATTAGAAAAAACTACAAAAAACCCCCTTGAAATAAAAAAAAAAAGAACAAATCTTTCAAAAAAATAATGAAGAAAACAAGGGGTTTCCAAGCGAGCCAAACCAATTTGGTGGAAATTGAAGGGGGCAAGACTGATCGAACGGCCCTTCGAGCTTGCCGGGATATTTTCCTGAACGTGTTCTGCAACAATCGGGCGAAAAGGTCCAAGCTCCTGTCATCGTCCTCCTCTTCATCATCGTCGTCGTCAAGATCACAACCGTCCTCCGAACCGCCGAAGTCGCCTACCCAAGCGCGAGGGTCCGGCACAACTACCACCGCTTCCTGCACTAATCGATTTGTCCTAATTCCATGAACTTATAGTTAGAGAGTTTGATCGAACACGTTGAGATGGAGGGAAAAGAAGTACCTTGGAGTAGTTAGGGTATTTTCTGGAAGCACGAAGAGGAAATGAGAATCGAGAGGGGATGGGGATTGAAAGAAGAGAGAGGAGGAGATAGTGATCTTTAGGGGCTTTAGAGAGATGGGTTCGGAGTCGCGGAGGGGACAGAAAGAAGGATAAAGACGAAGTAGCCATGGATAGAACTTGTGGCGGGGGCTTAAGGGGTAAAGACTTGGTGAGTTCTGCAACTCCAAATAAAATCATACATAGAATTAAAAAAAAAAAATGTTTTGAATCTGATTTCTTGAATGATTGTAAAATAAGTGTTTTTTTTCATCGTAAAATTAACTTATAATTCATTGTTCCTAATTTGTTAAGAAGAGAAAGATTAAAAAATAGATGAAATTTATAAAATAAAATATAGAGAGTTTGTGTTGATGTCTAAATCTCACATGTGATTGAGGAGTAATTATTCCGTCAGGTTACCGAATGCATCCGGAAACCAATAACAAAACTCCATGTCACTAAAGTGCTCGGTATCATGCTCGGTACAGCATGCTCAGTACACTCAGTATACTCGGTATTGCTCGGTATTTTCACCGGATGTAATAATTTTTTGTGATTGAGACATTCATTTATTTTCTTTTCAAAATTTTTTTTCTCTTTTTTATCCTTCTCGAAGTTCCCTTATTACACAATGAGTAACTTTTTTCAAATTTTATCTAATATTTTAGTGTGACTCTGAGAATGACTAAACTTAGGTTCTCCTAAGTGTAAAAAGCTCATAGGGCTGCAAATGAACCGACTACTCGTGGCTCGGATCGATAACAACTCGTTCATGTTCGTTTGATAAGGTAAACAAACGATTTTGAACACTTTTGATAAATACTCGATAGTTAAATAAACGAGCTTAAACAACTTGGCGTTCGATTTGTTTATGTTCATGAACAATATCGTTTAACGCTCGTGAACAAGCTCGTTAAGAAGTTCGATTAGAGCTCGACTAAGAAGCAATATTAGAATAATGTTAGAGTTTTAAAATATCTATATTATTAAATTAATAATTTATTTTTACTTCCCGCGTCCATCTAAAATCATGAACAACCTGCTCACTGAACAAATGTAATTTGAATCATAGATCGTTTGTTTGTGAACGAGCTCATTTGGTTGCTCGAGAACACTAATTAGATATGTTCATATATGAACGGACTCATTTGATAGCTTAAGAATACTCATTAGATATGTTCTTGAACGACTTTGTTTGATAGTTTAAAAAACTTCACTAGATATATTCACGAATATGCTTTATGTAATTGTTTATTAAAAAGCTCGATAAGGCTCGTTTGTTGATGCACATTTAGAATTAGATTTCGTTTATAGCTCGATCAGTGGCGGAACCACTTGCATCTTAGGGGGGGCAATTGCCCCCCCTCAAAAAAAATTAAAAAAGTATAAGAGAGTAAAAAATTTTTTTCCCCCCCCCCCCCCCTAAAAAACTCATTTGTTCTAACTTGCCCTAAAATATCTATATATTTCTTCATATTTAGTTATAATATTCTCTTTCATGCTTTTTATGACAATTCAATTACACTTTTTCTTTTTTTTTTCTTTCTTAATTTTTTTTAAACTTTTCGTAATATATATATATATATATATATATAATATTATTTTTATGTTATAAAATGTAAAATTTGACAATATTAATGTAACTATGTTTTCCTGTTGTTTATTTATTTTCTTTAATGCATTTAATCAGCTCTCAATGTCAAATAAATATGATTGTAAATGAATGATTATTGGTTGGATAAAGAAAAAGAAAGAAAAAAAAAGAAAATAAATTATTCCACTTTAGATATTACGGTTAGGACTATCAAAATCGTGTCACGGGTCGGGTTTGGGTCAGATCCGGAATTGGTCCGGCACTATTCGACCTAACTCGTACTTGACCCATTTTTTAAAACTGATTAGTTTTTTGGACCCGAACTCGACCTGTTTAGGATTAGGGTCAACTCGACCCGACATAAAATACCTAGAACATGGAAGAAGCGCGCAAATGACATGACGAAGAAGCGCACAAATGGCAGGTCGGCGTTCGGCAAACAATAACGATAGGCCGGCGAGGAAACTAGATCGTATGCTGAAGAACCGTGTAGACTCTACATGGCGGCAACAGCGGGCCGACGAGGTAGCGATGACGAACATACCAGATAGTGGTGACGGACGAGGTCTGGCTGGTCGGCATTCGACAATGCCCTGTGGGCTTGACGCGAATGGAAGACTGACCGGACACAGACAGTGTGATTGATCGGGACTTGGCATGTGCAACTGATGGGGGCGCAATGGATGGACAGACATACACGGCTGATGGGGACTCGACGGACAGACAGAATAAGAAACATATCAAATCAGGTTGATTTTGGCTTTCCGGGTCAACCCAAACCCGACTTGGTTTTACAAATGGGTCAAAATTTTTAAACCGAACATGAAATTTTCGGGTCGAGTTCAAGTTGGATTTTCGGGTCATTTAAAATATTTGTGATGTAACGGGTGTTACAATAAATTCCTTCAATATTATATATATATATATATATATGTGTGTGTGTGTGTGTGTGTGTGTGTATGTGTGTGTGTGTTCAACTTATACTGATAGTCATATTTTTCAATAAAAAAGATATTTTTAGTCATTCATGTACACTACTTTATAAAATTAGATCTGAGCAATTTTTAATTGTTAAGATATTAAGTCTGAGCTTCAAAAATGATTTATGAGAGTATAAAAGAATAATCATTGCTGAAAAAAAGAAGAAAAATAATAGTAATTGAGTTCCTCATTTGTGTGTAATAATGCTATGAATTTAATTAAAATTATTTTTATGAGCTGAAACATTAAACATGAAAAATATCAATTAAAGCAAAGATGAAAGTGGAGAAGAAGAAATGAGCAATTTCCCACACAAAAATTAAGGGTTTTTTGAGATCAATTTTTTTTTAAAAAAATATATTTATCATATTTTTTGTTGGTTGTTTTTATATTTATTTATGAAAGTAAAATAAGTTATTAGTTAAAAACTCAAACCATCTATCATCACTAACTTATGCACAACAACAACAACATCAAGCTTTTATTCCACTATATGAGGATAACTACATGAATCTTTTTTCTTCATGGTGTCCTATTAATAATCAAATTCTCATTTAAATCTAATAAATAAAGGCAATTTCTAATATTTTATAACCAAGTCTTTTTAGGTCTACTTTTACCTTAACATAAGTTAAATCTAATACATCTACTTTCCTAACCGGGTCATTGAAAGGCCACCGTTTTGTGTGACTAAATCATCTAAGATGACTCTCTCTAATCTTACCTTCCACTGGAGCTACTCCAACCTTTTCACGTATATGCTCATTTCATATACTATCTCTAAGAGTTAAACCACTCATTAATCTGAGCTTCCTCATTTATGCAACACTTATCTATATATTGTGCTTCTCTTTTAATGGCCAACATTCTGCACGATAAAGCATTACAAGTCTCACCATCATCTCATAAAATTTTCCCTTAAGTTTGAGGGGGACTTTTCCATTACACAATGAGCCCAATAAATTCCTCCACTTCAACCATCCAACTTGAATTCTACTAATAATATACCCATTTATTTAACCATCACTCTGAAAAATAGACCCAAGATATCTAAAACATGTACTTTTATTAATGACTTCATTGCCTAAAGTCATGATCCCCCCACTAGATCTATTATTACTAAAATTACACTCTATATATTTAATATTGGATCTACTCAAATGAAAGACTTTAAACTCTAAAGTTGACATCCATAATTCAAGTTTACCTTCAACTCTCTCTCTATTCTTATCAACAAGAAGAATATCATCAGCAAAAAGCATACACCAAGGTATAACCTCTTGTAAATGTCTTGTGAGAACATCCATGACTAAAGCAAAAAGATATGGGCTTAAGGTTGATCTTTGATGTAATCCAACTAAAATAGAAAAATACTTGGTCAAACCACCTGTGCCTGAACACAAGTAACAGCTCATGCATACATATCCTTAATGACTTGAATATGAACATTATTAACCCTTTTCTTTTCTTTAACTCTCCATAGCACTTCTCTTAAAACTTTAGCATATGCTTTCTCTAATTCAATAAATATCATATGTATATCCTCCTTATTCTCTCTATACTACTCCATCAAATCTCTCAATAAATATATAGCTTCCGTAGTAGACCTACATGGCATGAATCCAAATTGTTTTAGAAATATTAGCATCACGCTCAACATATGCTCCATAACTCTCTCCCATAGTTTTAAAGTATGTCACATTAATTTAATTTCTCTATAATTCGCACAATTTAATACTTCACCTTTATTCTTAAAAATTAGAATCAACATACTCATTCTCTGCTCATTTGACAACTTTTTAGCTTCAAAATAATATTAAAAAGTTTAGCAAGCTAAAAAATTCCTTCATCTCCTAAGCATTCCACACACCTTTATTCTTAAGCTCTAGAAAATACCATGCTTTTCATTTCATAGGCTGCAATTATAAAACCTATAATAAATAGCCCAAAAAAGTAGCATAGATAATGAAAAAGAAATAAACTCCATAAAAAAAAAAAAATTTCCATGGTGCTATCTCCCACAACCAATAAACTTTCACTCGATACAACCAACAACTAATGCACTCAATAGTAGCTATCACAAATAAAACCCCAAAAAAAGTAGAATAAAAACAGTAAACTGTTCAACCAATCAGCAAGAATATCTGGCTACAGATGATCAGCATGTATCACTTAGTCGTTTCTTCATCTAAAATTTGAAGAAATTGTCAGGATTGTGTGCTATACAACACTCGTTTTCCCTTGATTCATTCAAAAACCAGGGGAAGTTATTTCCACTGTATATCGTATCTAGAAAATGTAACCGAATCATTCTTCTTCATAAAACCTGCACTCATAAATGGTTGATCACTAAGATGAAACAAGATTATCTAAATAGATAATTGATTCTTACCGACCTTTGGATCTTTGACATGAAATCCAGAGTTATTGATTGGTTGTGGAGGGATTAAGGTCATCTGGATTGCATTTTGGAGCTCCTCGTCCCACATATTTTCTATCTGAATGTTGATGATTTATAAAAAAATGAAACCAGAATTTAAGCTTAGCAAGAGTTTCTGAGTTACCTGAGCAATGGAGGAAAGCTGAGATATGGTAGCAGCCACAATCATTTCTGAGGGAATTTGTACTGCTCCAGGATAATGAGCATATGGAGTGCTAAAAACTGGACTGAGACCAAGAACTGAAGGAGTTCCATCTCGTGCCTAGGAAGAAAAATCATTCAAGGGGTAAAGTTGCTTGACATTATTGAGAATAAGATTTTTGTTCTCCTTCATGGCCAACCTACTTACAGCTCTAGAAAAGTTCTGTTCAATATCAAAGTTTAGTTCAGGGTTAACAGCTGCAAGCTTCATCGACAAGAACTGCAATTTAGAATGAATCTTATCGTAAAAATCTAAGTGAAGAACAGGGGCAAAAACTTAAACCATTTTTAAACCCTAAACAGGAAGCAGCGGTTATATTTTAAAAACTTCAATAAAATACTCAGAGCATAATGACCAGCATCAGGTCCAAGAGAAGTTCTGTGATAGGATATTTTATGAATTGCAATGCTTGAACACATTATTTAATCTTGATTTTTCCATAAATAATGTCATTTAAAGAGTATACCTCTACTTGTTGCTGCAATGACTGCACGTAATTGATGATTTCATCAAGCATCACTGCCTTGCCAGTAATCTAATATATGATACAAAAAAAACACACAAATCACATAAAGCAGCTAAAAAACTGCAAGATCTACATGTGATATCAAGGAAAAATACAAAAACACCTTTGGTATAAATGTACCTTACTGCATCCTGGAACTAGATCTTGAAGAATCCTCATTCGTTCGCTGATCTTTTCTCTTCTCACCTATGATTTATAAAATGGATTTAGAAAAAAATATGAAGGAATGAATGGCATAATATATAGAAGAAATCAGTTTAAGAATAATTTACTCTCTCTGCAAGGCTATGACTATTCGTAGCCTTGCCTCGCTTGGCACGAACATGGATATATGCTTCTTTTGGATCATCATCGTCTTGGGATATCTCTTTAGCTTGCTTGGTAGTTAATTTGCTGGAATTGTAACAAGGGAGCAATTCACTCTTTTGTTTCTTGACATCTTTGTCTGTGGAGCTCTTGACAAAGTCTGGAGAAACATCATTCTGCTCTTTTGCATCAGCACACTTTTCACAAGAGAGTTGTTAGATGTGAAAAAGGCTAAATCAGAAATGAAAGATGAGAAACCATATCATCGTAACAACCTTGGCTATTGTTGATTGAAGTGAAAAGCCACCACATTCTGAAAGTGTTCTTCTTTTCTTTCCCATAAAGTTCCTCTCCATTTGTTTCTCTTCCACGGAGAAATCAGCCGGGCAAAGTGATTCAGAGATCCGACTTCCACCAGATAAACCAAAAGCACTCACCATCATAATTTGCGAGGAAGCATTATCTGAACCATCGATTTCCACAGATTGCTTCAGTAAACTAAGTACAGTTTCATCTGTATCCAAGAAGTGTTGTGTGTCATTCATGGATGAACATGGAGTTGCCATTTGAGATGAAACTTCCTTGCGGAAAAAATTGCTCAGTAGTTAGCAATAGCAAACCATAACATTCCGGTCTTTGTAAATTCAAAACATAAACGTTCTTCAAAGATAAGAACTTCAAAACGACACTTAATAAGGCTTTTGACTGAAAGAGAAAAAAAGTAGTTGGACTGATAATTTCTTGCAAGACTTAACAAGGAACAAGTAAAAAAAGGTAGCTTTATGCTAAAGTGTGAAAGTAAAAGAGGTTCTCAGTAGCAGAATCCTAAGAACATATGGCATAAAATCCATCTCAAGGAATATTAATTACCAGGCACCAGCTGGATAGATTATTAAAACTCAAGAAAAATTTTTCACTATAATAATACTGTCAGAAAAGCTAACCTTTCTTAAAGGGACAAGGAAGAAATAATCCGATTGGTAAGCAGAAATACACAGCAGTCGAGGGGGAGGGAGAATTAGAAAACAAACAAAGGTTGATTTCTAAATTCATATCTTAACCACTAACAGACATATTAAGATTTCTTAATAAAAATCCTACTGAAGGAAGCATTGTAAATCAGTAATTCCTTTGAAGTTAATCTTTGACATTTTAACTTTTTTTTCACCGAGAAGAATAAGTGCAATTTGAAAAACTAAAGCTAGATATGGATCTTAAAATGGATGAAATTCAAAGCTGTCAAGAATAAAAGGAGGCCAATTAGGGAAAACACTTTGAAGTTATTCTAAGAAGATTAGTTAAACTATTAAATCTATCTACATCACAAAAGCATAAGGAGCGATGAAATTACGAATGTAGGAGATAAAAAAGAAGCTAAATCTGAGAGCTTAGAAGCACTTGCAGAGCAATGAAGCCTGTTACCTGCCTGAGGAAGTGAAATCGTACTTCTCTAGGAAAGTTGTTGCCTGTTGAACAATACCAACTGCCCTCTATAAAATATAATTTATATACATGTTTTTAACTGAAAGTCTAGCGCTTAAGCTAAATAAACCAAAGCCATGATGCACAGATTACTCTATCTCTCTCTCTCTCTCTCACACACACACACACATACAAATACGCACAGAGACACAAAAGCGAGTCTCACACTCATCCCTATTATTATGTTGCCTTTTCCTCAATGACAGTGAACTGGACTGAGCGTTAGAGGAGCTTTCTTCATCTTGAAGCTAGATTATCTTTCACCAGTAGCCTAATCATAGTCTGTTTCTCTCTCTACCAAAGACACGGGGAATCTAATAATCTTTTACCTGTCTGTCCTCCACAAATATTCAACTAAGGAAAGAGTTTGATTAAGGTTAAAACAAGATCAAAAGGACACCAACTCACCAACCAAAGCGTACCCATTCAGTTCCACCTTGCTGTTTACAGCTAAATAAAGGAGTAGTTTTGCAGCAGTTGATTACTTTTGTCCCATCGAAGCATTCATTATAGGTTAGAATTGAGAGCAGAGCTACAGCAACCGAGGCTATTTTTCCAATATATTTTATGAATCGGGTAGGAAACGAGCATATAGCGGTAATTTTACATTTGTTAATTTTTTTCTGGGTAAAATATAATTTTAAATCATTATGTACTCTCCTCCACATGATTATACTTGATTAAAATTCAATTACACACTTAATGAAATAATTAATAAATAGTTTAAACAAAAATATAAAACTCAAGTGATGCTTAAACACCTTTAAGAAAAACAAATGAGCAGAGACTCTGTTCATATGTCCAATGAAAAAAACAAAAGCTTTTGATATGAAAATATGAAGTGTAAATCATCATAGAGATAGCATTAAAAGAATTGATCAAAACACAGAATGTGAGTCTCAATATGCAAGGAAGATTAGCCCTCCATAACATCCAGTAGTACCATGAGGACCAACCAAATGATAAGTTAGGTGCAGGAAAAAGGAGTGTGCTCAAGTAAGGAAGACTACTTGCAGAATGATTATCATTGAACAAAAATTATGTCTTTGGAGATATCATAAAGCTTTTCCATAGCTTGCACACCAAACTTGTTCCTCAGCAATTTCTACTTGTAGTTTACTTACTGTCTGCTTTTGGATTTTGTTCACTTATTGCAATGGAACTGAAGAAGCAACTTAACTTAAAATTTTGCCTGCCATGCCCGACAGCCTTTCCCAAAGAATTATCATATAAAAGGTACTTACAAACAAATTATCAATGTTTCTGTAGCTTAACCACCAAGAGTTGTCTCCTGCTTTTGATATGAGAATTTCAATAATATTTCCAATGCTACATGACACTAAACTGCTTTCTTTCCATGCCAAAAATACAAGCAATCATCCACTGAACTTTAGATTCATTTTGAATGGTTGGTTTTTAAGAGAGTATATTACAAATATTTTAAAAAAATATATGTGACAAATATGTACAATGGTCAACCAGTCTTCATTGGTGCTAAACCCAGTTGCAGTTCTTTCCAAACTATTTAAGTAATGAGTAAAAAATGCAGAAAGATAAGCACTGATGAAGTGTGATTAAAAGAAGAAAATTACCTAGATTGCCCGTACATAAAAGCAAATGAATGTCTAGTAGTGTGCCATGAAGCATGCGGCATAACATCCAGCATAGGCACTCTTAAGCATCACAAAATCCATGATTGAAATGCAACAATGATGAAAGAAAGGAGCACATAACACTTTCTTTAACACTTTCTTTAATGCAATAAGCTTAAATATGCCCAACAATCTTTTGACACACTACCCAGAAGCAGCATTCCCTAAATGATGTTGCCACTTTTCTTAGATATCACAATTACTTGGAATGCTTTTGATTAGGCAATACATCGTACAGATGCAAACAGAGAGTTCGTCACAATCCGCTCATCAGTTCTGGAAAAAATCAAAAACCTTGTTGGACAAACTTTGTTAATAAATTTAGAATTAATCCACTAAATATCCACAATGATAATTATCCATTAAAAATACAATATTAGAGGATCCAAATTCACTAGCATATATTAACTATCAATCAAAATGTAAATAAATTTAACTATTACAATAAATATAAGAAATAAACTACCATTAAACCAATTAAACAACCTTAATCATCTTCCCATGATACTTGAAGATGATTCTAATAGAATCTCTCATTCGAATGATGCAAAATTAATAACACAAAATTATAAAAATTAATGGGTTAGTTTGCAAGAAAGAAACTTAGTATGTGAAACCTACTGGCAAAGATAACTGACAAGATTGGGAAATAACTATGAACAATGAGAGAAGCAGACTAATAATATATATTATATCATAACAACTATAAATGATGTACTAAAACAACTAACTTACAAGGCAAGTTTTTTATATATGAAAATAGTGCAATGACAATTATTATGCAATGGACTTCATAAAAATTCATGTGCAATAAAAATCACTATGTTGAAATGCTAAACAACCACTTACATGCTTACCATATTAACAAATCTAGAAATGAGTTCATTATTATACCTTTTATATAGAGTTGGTTATTTATAATACCATAAACAAATTTTCACCACCTATCGGGTTCAAATAGCCCTGAAGAGAGTCCTAGAGAGATCATTAGGGATCAATTTTATATAGTTTAGGAATTAAATTGGAGAAATATAATACTTTAGGATGAAATTGGCTGCATACGAATAATCAAGAGACTATTTTAAGTCTTTTTTTTCAATAAATGTTTTCTCAATAATCAATCTTTGCATAAGAAATTCTACTTTTCTCTGACAATCAGTTTAAAATACTCAAGAATTTTCGATTTGCTTACAGACTTCATATAATGAAAAAAACACTAGCCCTAGTATCCGTGTCCTTCTATAATATCTCTCTTACAATTTCCTACTAAGCCCGACAAACATCAAGATATCAGTTTTTTCTATCCACAATCCCAACTTCACAATTTTATTTCTTCCTGCAACTTTAAAGTAAAGACGTCTCTAAATGTGGCATGTAAGTGTGCGTGCCAGTAAGAGAGAAATTACACAGTGCATGAGCGAACAATTAATAGTGCATTTGATACCTCTCAAGATATCATTAATTTCAATCCAGGATGCTCACATCACAATTCCACTTCTATCAAAACTTACCAAGTAAAAGAGTTTTTATAAGTAGCATTTATGTACAAAGATGTGAAGAATGTAAGTGCGTTTGTGATTAATAGTACACACATAAGAGTGTACACATCAAAGGAAAGAAATTATCAAGAACGATACTTTTGGGATTTATTTCTAAGTATATATCTTATAGGGTGGCTAACTGGCTATCACCACCACTTCCAATCCTTTGCATTAAACCCAGATTCTTAATTTTAAAACTCCCCTCACCCCTAACAAAAATAAGTGGATTCAGGTTAACGCTTGCAGAACTCTTTCATGTAGCTCTATTTATTTTTCATAACCCTAAAGAAAGAAGCATGTGCTGCACTTATTACAAGACTACTGATGATAAAAATAAAATATTTCCCAACAATTTATCTAATTGAACACTATGATTTCTTACATGCCCTATGCTTTTTTTCCCTATTTTAGGTTTTTCCACATTAACTTTTGGTGTCCTCTACTTTTCCGCTGCTTTTACTTTCTTGCTTGTTTTGTCTTAGTGGTGTTTACTCTTCATCTCTCCCCAACAATATATTAGATGTTCCTACTGGTAGGCATGTGACTCGATTCATCTTTACCTCTCGCCTCTCACATTTTGAGGCATTCAATCCCTTCCCTCTCCCCCCTTCTTCAAATAATGCATACTAAAAGACAAAAAACGTTCTGATATCAACAAGAATTACTTCATATTTCTTTTTTCCCGTTTGGTAGTTCAAAAAATAAGAATTACTTTATATTTGTTACACTTGCCACACTATTTCAGATGCATTGGGCATACTAGCCATGACATTCTTCAGTAACTAGGTATATGAATAACAGTGGATATGGATATGACATCCCTTCAGTGAGAAAGCTTATTAAATCTACATTGAACAAGTGGCTCATATAGGCAGATGTAAACGCCAAAAAGATAGTACTAACTATTTTAGCAACCACAGCTTTCGGTGCATAGCATGTTTACATGCTGATCGCAGAGCTCAAAAGCAGAAATTAACTCATATATCCAAGTCTGCAAGACAAATAACCATAGATGTCAAGCACGTTTACCACAAAACAACAAAAGCTGTAATGCAAAATATAATATGCATGCATAAGAGTTATCTATAAAGTTTGCCTGCACAACTCCATTTTACAAACAAGAAAATTCAGGGCATACGACTACCCAAGTTACAAAGCGCCTCCGCCCAAGTTACAATTAGGTGAAAAATTTCGTCTAGCTGCGTGTTGATTAAATCCTGCCCTCCTCAGAGATCCAAGATCGCCAATAGCCGGGAAACGATCATAATCTCCACCAATCATAGGAAACCTCTGGGCACCAGGAATCCAGGGCAATGGTATAACCCTTGGGCTACGAATGTACGGAACCAATGCATTATCCCTGTCCATCCTAGATTTCTTTCTCCTCACCCATAATCTCGCAAATTTATCCTTCCAAGTCCCTCCTGTGCTTCCTGCAACAAACATCTCAAACTCCTCCAAAAACCTCCTCTTCCAAAGTTCATCATTGGATGAAAGGTACCTCAATTCAGAACAAGCACATGCAGCCCTTGCAAGGTCTATGCCTGGGAGAAACTCCAAAATCATGATCTTGAGATCAGTGGGAAGCCGGGTAAAGCATGGTGGAAGAGGTAACCCATTCTTCTGACATATATCAATAAGTAAGGGGATAGAAAGACGATCCTTTACAATTTTCCAAAGCTGGAAAACGTCTTCCTGTTCCTGCGCACTAAGTTCATTTACGGCCGAGGCCAACAAAGGGGCCAACTTGGAAGAATCCAAAGAAAGATGGTAAACATCAGGGCGAGCTCCAACCAAGCACCCGTAAATAAAAACATAGTTCCCCACCGAAGAAAACTTCAAGATGACATTTTTAACATCTTCCAAATTCCCACAACTTATAAGGTTTGGAAGAGTGTACTTTACCGAAACCTGAGACGCCATGGAAAATCCTTCCGGCAAAGAAGATCCGCCGCCGCCACCGCATGCGACGAATCCGGATTCTAAGAATACAGCATGGATAGTAACCACCGTGAGTCCCATATTACCATTAATCTTTCCCTTCTCCGTTTCCATAATCCTTCGAAGAAAGCAGGGAACCGACGCTGCCTTCTCCTGCACAAAAGGCTTCGATTCTGATTCCACCTCCATATCGTCAGCGGGCGGCTCGGGAGCCGAGGAGAATGAAGTTAGGTTTTCGACCGGTGAGGCTGGAGATTGGTTCAGGGTTTCGGTAATGGAATTAAGGCTGGAGTCGATGGAATAGAACAAGAGATCGCCAGAGGTGAGACCAAGGGCGTGGAGGGATTCGTCAGGGGCAGATGCGATTTCGTCAGTTCGATTGAGGGAGAGGTGAATAGATTCGGGGGGTATTGGTGTGGTGGAGGAAAGGTTTGAGGAAATTAGGGTTTTAACATCGGAGAGAGAGGAGGAATTAGGGATATCGATGCGAATCGTCTCCTTCGTCACCGTTGATCGGATTCGTAGCTTCATGTCGGTGGGTTGGGCTCGAGCTTTCAGATTGGGTAAGGAAGTGAATGTGTGGAGAGGATTGATATAGGGTAAACTCGAGGAACTTTTATTTGGTCCGGTCACTTGACGTAGCTCTACGTTCGGACATCACTAAAATAGTCCCACGTATTCTCACTATATACCGCGCAACCCGACAACCTTGACCGAAACGGAGACGAGATTGCTATGTTCGCATGTTGTTAGGTATTGCTCGGTATTTGCTTGGTATTGGTCGATTTTGCTCGGCAATAACAAGAAATATCATTCTGTGAAGACCAATACCTAGCAATAAAGAGCAATACAAAGTAATACTCAGTATTGCTTAGGGTTTCTCGGTATTGGTCTTCACAGAGCGATATTTTTCATTATTGTCAAGCAATACCAAGCAATATCGAGTAATACCTAGAGCAATACCGCAATACGCGAACATAGCAATCCCGGGTCAGGTTGTCGGGCCGCGCGGTATTGAGTAATACCACGTGGCGACATGTTATTGGCGTCCGAACATAGAGCTACGTCAGGTCACCTGACCTAATAATTGTCAAACTCGAGGGAGAGACACTGACGACTGATTTATGTTCTTTATACATAAATACAATAAATTTAAAATATTTTAACATATAATATTTAAATTTAATATTTATTAAAATAAAATTTTAATATCTAAATCATATTTAAATATATACTTAAATAAAATAACATATTTCACTTTAAATAATATTATAGTTTAAAAATAACATATTAAAAAATATAAAATATAAATAGTAGACATATAAATAACTAAGAATTAAAAGATATATATGTAAATCTCCCTTTGTAAATAATTAATTATTTTATTTTTTTAAAAAAATACATTTTACATGATTTTAATAAAAAATTCATGTATTCATTTATTTGATTATTTGAAATCTAGTTATATTTAATTAAGAAAATAAAATAACCTTTTATTCATTTATCTATCCTACAACATGCTCTATGGTAGTCATTTAAAATAGAAAAAAATTGAAAATTTTAGTGGTGTTGTGCTAATGTGACTTTTAATGTCATTCATATAATTTATTCTACGAATAAAACCATTTTTTACACCCTAATATGCAATACATGCAACTCGTTGAGTTTGCCTTCAAGGGGCTTAATCAAGAGTAGCGCTCGCCTTACATGTGCCCTACTTGGAGGGAGACCTATCTTGTGAGAGCTCGTTCCTTTGTTTTTCTCTTTTATGGATCTGATTTTTTCGCTCTAAGGTGATTGTCCTACAAGGGCCGATTTGGGATCGTCTGTGGACGAATCTGTTAGTGCAGTTCTCTAAGGAATTCTGAGCAGCTTTCCCCCTATATGATGATTATTGATCAATTTAAGGAAAGAATGGCAAAACATACAGACTAAGATAGCAATAAGTGTGGAAAAGCTCTAGATTTTGTCTGAATTGGTATGAATTTTATCACTCTCCTAGCAAAATTTCATCTTAAATGCTCTGGACGATTGAAAGATTTGTTCATAATCGTCCTGAGATCTGAGTGTGGCGATGCGCTCCAGGACGATCAGCCAACTACTGTAATGGGATAAGTAAGGAAATCAGAGGCATATCTATCCGCAATTTGAAGGATGCTAGAAAGAAAAAGCTTTTTTCATGAATCAAAAAAACTAAGAGTATCTGAGGCAGATGGGACGGGAAGAAGAGAATAGACAAAAGGAAAAGCTGGTATTTACCGTACGAAGGGGAAATGCTGCGCCGAGGAGTCCGCGTTGAGTTTGGGTTTTTCGTCCGTACGTTTTCTGGCGTCGGCGTTTTTTGGGTGAGTTGAGGGCAAATTTGTTTATGTCCTCGGCTGCTATAAGGGATACGCTCCGTGAGATCCGCTTTAGTTTTTTGTTTGGTCCTGGAGAAGATGTTGCAGGGTATTTGGATCCGAGTGTTTATGGAGCACAGATTTATTGTGTTTTTCGTTATCTGATAAACACACGCGTGCAGTATTTTTGGTATTTAAGACAGGAAAGCATTTTCACCGCATCTAGACGTTTGGAGAATATGTTTTGATAATGGTAACGATTATTAACCTTTTATTTTGGGTTCTACAGCATTTTTTTGATCGAATAGATAATTATCGGGCTTGTTGATATGATGTTGCTTTCAGTAGATATTAGAATCTTCATAATATTGTTTGTGAATGTTCTGGTGGTAATTATGGTAAAGATTCTGATTTTGGCTGACATTTTTTGTGTATAACTATATTGTGATACAAATAATCGGGATGTCAGCTTGAGGAGGACACTTGAATGGTGGGTACCGGGACGAACTTGTTACATGGATGTTTGGGGAAGATAGGCGTAAGAAGGTGTGCGCGGTATGAACTGTAGGCTGAATTCCGTATCAGTGCCGTTACGATGGGAAGACAGAAAACATAGCTCGAAATTTTCGTACGATTTCCTGATTTTCCGAAATTTGATGATTTGAATTGTGATATGCATACGAATGTGATTATTTGATTATTGATACTCGAAAGACAAAAGTGGACGCCTGGTTGAACGCGTGGGTTGGAAGATTGACTTGACCTGTCACGGAATGGTGGGTGAAGCCGAGCGCGGGCTTTCCTTTAAGACATATTGATAATCATACTATTAGAATAATCTCGTGATATAGCGACGACGATAAGCTGGTGAAGAGTCCCTATTGAAAGGAGAAAAAGGGATATTATTGAATACTATGCACTCCGAGACAACGGGTCGCAGATCCCTTACAATGGGACGAAGTAGTAGATCGTGCGTCGACTTCTTTATCCGAACCCAATGTTAAATACATGCACAAAACGCCCAAAGCACTCAAAAAGACCTCAAAAGACTATACATATGGGCACACTTGCAATCTTCTATACAACAAGCCAGACATGAACGGAAGTGACGAAATCAAATTAACGATTAGTGTAGGCACATACAATACACCAAACCATCGCACACTAAGACAATAACTAAAAGAATACATATAAACCAAACAAAAACATCCCCAGAAACCAAAATATATGAGAATTATCTGACATAATTGTCTATATATAAGGGACGCAAAAAATTATTTAATAACTAAAATGGAGTTAATTGATGGTAGCACAAACATCAGATAAGATCGATATCTATCATAGTTCAGCAATGCACCCCATACCATTAGAAGACTCATTGTAAATATACTATAGAAACTCATAGACACATTGTGTCCATGCGGCATTAGACTCGTAGATGGAATCACTTTACTTGATTTGTATTTACTGTATCAGGATTCAACGGAACTATACTTGTTATCCGTACGATCATTAATATTGAATTGATACTATTCGCTATGATAAAACATGCTCAACAAGAACTAATGGAATCAATATTATTGATTTCATTGACACTATTGTTTCTACACTGTATTGAACTGCTGTTCATTCTGTAGTTCATTGCTATGTAATACCACTGACTGAGGCTTTTATTGTATTGATTTGAACTGATTTCATACCGATTCGACCAGACTAAGTATTGTTTCTTTGATTGATACGCTATTGATCTTGTACTATATTCGATTGACTTTTTCCTACTGTTTATTTATTGATCTAGTCTTCAACCGCTGCATCTTGACTACTGATTTTGATTTCTACAATTATCCCGCTTGTAATATGATTCGTTGACCCACTGTGGCCACATGATCTGTTTATGTGATCTTTGATATGACTGACAATAGCATATTGTACATTCCAGTATCTTGTGATTTTGAATTTCAGTTAGTAGGCTTTGGTGACAATCTGCTGGGTCTCATTTATGAAGCTTCATTCTACTATGATGGGTTAACCAACTTTCCGGTCCGTAGCAAGGCCACTGGAATAGGTAGTCTCGATATATGAATGTCAGAACGCAAATCTTCATCTATGAAGATGCCTGGGGTTGCTCACACACCGTGGTATTCAGAGCAAGTGTAAGATGAAGGATTTAATTAGTCTCAGATTCTGAAATAGAAGATGAGATATCCTTTGGTCATACAATAACTTGAAATAAGATCATGTAGAAGTTTGAAACTGGCATTGAATGACTGTATGGATTCTGACGAGTTTATGAAATTTGACTTGAGAATTTGTTTTAGTCCTGGTGAAAAACGAAAGAAACAATTGAGCCACGCTCCAAGACTCTTAGGGAACATGTTCTATGGAGATGGTACGCTCACTTATATTCATCTAACACAAAACAAGTGAGGAGATCTCCGATTGCAGAGAGCTTCGTAAATATGTTTTTTTAGTTCTACTGCAACACACACACACATAATTTAATGCGCTCACTTTAATTTTTCGGACTCCGCAAGGAATCAAGTCCAACAGTGCCGATTTGGGAATCTGTACTTTGGCACGATCAGTGCATGCAAATGCCATCGAAGACTGTAAGTGGTTTTTGTGCAAAATCAATACAATTATTCAGTCCTACGAACAAAAATTCGTAACCCCCACTGGGAACGTAGTGATGAAAATTTGTTACAATGATCTCACAAAAACACAGCGAGTTCAATATGGCCTTAGAACAAATAATAGAAGAGGCCGGCACGCGACCGATATATGCATTTGCCAAAATGATATCGTTAATAGTCTCTATACTGAACCACGCAGGTGACGAATCAATCGGACTAAGTGTCATGATCAATCAATCCGAATTATGTGATCTTTATAGATTGGTGATAGACAATAGTCATGAGTTTGTTAGGATAAAATCACAATACAAGTTGCGTCTTGCAATTATATGAGGAGAGTATTGAACAGAAACTCAAAATTTACTAAAAAAATCAAAGATATACTGAGGAGAGAAGAAGTGACATGAGAGTAGGAGAACCAGCAACAGAGACATAGAAAGCTTGGTGGCACTTGACCGCAAGAGATGGTTCCTGGACGGTATGAAATCCATCCTCTCTAATACTGTCCCGTCGCCCTTGCATTATCTCGCGCAATCGTATATAGTCATGCCTCCAACAGAGCTAGTTTAGAAGGAAAGCGATATCTGTCCGTTACCTGCGTCTGTCACAACA